GGTCACGGGGGTGGGGGGAAAGAAACTAGACAGGAAGACTGATCCAGATCGATGAGACTAAAGTAAAGGACCACCTCTGGACCTTGCGACGGCATTTTTCCCCCGTCTTCTTTAAGCCTTTATTCCTCATTACGCACACTTTTCCAAACCGAGAAGATGCCCAAATCCTCASCGCGCGTTTCCCCCCGGCCCTGTCTGTGGCTGGCATCTCTGATTATTTTGGTGATGCAATCAGTGCTSTCTTCTTCCTACTCTTCCCCCTCTTCGTACCAGAGACCTCCTGCAGCTGGCGGGAAGCGGCCGGGCTTCATGGGGAGGACGCTGGTCCTGCTGGACGTCAACACCCGCAGTCCGATGAGAGTCCTCAACGACAACTTCCTTTCGCTGCAGTTGGACCCCTCAATCATCAAGGACGGCTGGCTGGACTTTCTGAGGTACCAAACAGCTCCCCATCAGCATTGATCTGTTCCAGGGCTCACCTCCTCTCTGGTGTTTTTAGTCATTACGCACGCAGCCACGTTGCGTGAACGGTCATGGAGTGATCCGGCTCGTTTCTTCCTCTCMGATAGTGAACGATTCAGAGCGAGCTTTTATTCAGACTAAACATTTAACAAGACTAAACGTTTGGTATGTAATTACTTAAATGCAATCATTTAAAACTTGTGAATTTRTATGTAAAAACACGGAATTGTTGATCTTCATGATAAAAAAATCTACTTCACGTGTTTTAAAATCCCATTTATCACTTTAATGATCAAATACTTTGWTTTATTTTGATGCCATTTCGTGGAATAATCAAACACTAAGTTTAAATTGAAGAATGACATCACTGAGTGGGTTCAGCAGCTGTCGGTGTTTAAGTAAATGGCTTTTTTTTGATAAACCTGTGACATTTCAGTTCTGTGAGCAGTTTTAGTAAAACCTATAATCAGATACTCAAAAAAAAAAAAAACCAGGATTGGATTTTATTATGCCAGAAAATCACTGTGAGGCAAATTAGCAACTATTTTACTAAACAAATTGGTCGTCTTTTGTATGTTCTGGTTCACAATTATCCTGACACACAAAAAAAAAGCACTGTGAAAACTTTATTAAGCTATTTTACAGTTTTTTTTTGTTTTTAATATTTTATCACATTTATACAAAAATGTTTTCTTGTCCCACAGCGAATTGTCCCTAGTTAGTTTTTTCTTGATTATTCATTAGAATAAAAACAAACTGCGTCATGGTCTGGGACGCATCTGAAATATTTTCTCTTAACATTTCCCTGTTTATTTAAATCATCCGTTATGATCACTTGTACGTGTTTTCTAAAAGGTTAAGCAATTTACCATTTGTTATTCAGTTATTTATTTTTTAATTTGAAGCAGGACGTTTTTACTTCAAGTGAGGAGTAAAATATCATATTTCCTGTTTTATTCATCCTGTTTCAAAAGTATGGATTTTTTTAAATAAATAAATACGACAGGGGTTTTGTTTTGTGTTTCCTTTAGATAGGCCTGAACAAGAGTCCCTAATTAATAACTAAAACCCCTCACAAATTAGCCTCCAGACACCAGTTTAACAGGTGAAAGCTGTGACGCAATATTTCAGTGTCCTTTTCTCTTCCTGTGTCCGCAGCTCCAAGCGGCTCGTGACCCTGGCGCGCGGCCTGTCGCCAGCTTTTCTCCGTTTCGGCGGAAAGCGAACCGATTTCCTGCAGTTCAACAACCAGAAGAACCTCGCCAAGTTCAGAGGACCAGGGCCGGACTACTACCTGAAGAACTACGAGGACGGTGATGAGACGTGACATTTCTCTCTTAGCTCATGCTTCAGGCCCGCAGCGCGTGCTGCTTTCTCTGGGAAAATAGTCATTTCCAGAAGAAGCGCGTGACGTTTTTGTTCCTTCCGTGTGGAGCTTTGCTCTTCTCCGTCAGCGAGCTCTCAAAACTTTTTTAAAAATTTGGATTTAATAGTTTTTTTTCCCACACTGTGAAAAACATATCTTTAAAACAGCCTAGTCAATTTATTTAAGGCGTCGAGCATTAAACGAGAGGAAAATCTTGCGCGTGATGCATTCAAGGTCATATCTTAAATGAAGAAAAATACAGCGGTCTATTATTTAAGTTCTCCAAAACTTAGCTACTTTGTTCGGTTTTTATTTATCTTTTATGTATAAATTGTAATAAGATAAAATAAAACACAACAAAAGAAATATATAATATAATTTAACTTTTCCAGGAAGACATTTTTAGGGCAGCGGTCCTCAAACACTGGGCCGAGGACCAAAACCAGTCCATGGATGTTTGGAACCGGCCACACATACCGTAGGGCTACATATTAAAACATATATCTTTAAAAAGTTAATATTTGTAAGTATATTGGTCTGCAGGGAATTTTTTTTTTGATCATGGTCTTTTTATTAATTTTTTTTTAAACAAACCACAAAAAAAGAACAGACATACAAAAACAGAAAACGAAACACACACACCCAAAATCCTTCCCATCCCTTATACCGGATCCTCTGAAATAACAAAAAATGAGCTTGTATTCATGAAGTGATACAATGAGCAGGTTTGTGTATAATGAAACAATTTTTAACCTTTACACAAAATTATCTGCCGAAATTCTTTTAAGATATAAATGGCTGCCAAATGTCAAAAAATTTGTTTACAGATCCTCTAACAGTATATCTAATCTTCTCTAAATGAATGTAAGACATAACTTCTCTTAACCAATGACCATATACTGGAGGATGTGGATCCTTCCATCGAAGAAGAAGAAGTCTTCTAGCCAGTAGGGAGCAGAAAGCTAACACCGTCCTTACTGAGGGAAGCCTCTGCTGGAGCCACCCCAAAAAGAGGGGAGTTTGTTTTGAAAAGGACCACTTCCATTCACAACTCTTCCCTATGCTTCACAGGCACATTATGTTTTTTACAAACATGCAAAACTAATTGTAGCAAAAAGTTAATTAAAAATTGTTTTGGAGATTCTTTCTCATCTTTCCATCAGAAAAGTGTATGAAATTATAAAAAAAACACACAAGTTGGGGTTGCAGTTTTAAAGCAATTGTGCCACAGTTTATAGCCTGCAGAAAATAGCCTAGATTTGTTGTTGGAGACAGTTTTCTGCAATGCAATCAAATACGTGGATCTACAGTTTAATCATGACATAACTTTTTAAAAAACAACACTGACAATAGAGAAAACGGCACATGTACAATATTGTTTAATTCACTCCAGCTTTCTAAAAACAGAATCTGTTTTTCCCTTCTGTGCTGTCTCGCAGACATAGTGCGCAGCGATATCGCCTTGGACAAACAGAAAGGCTGCAAAGTGGCCCACCACCCTGACATAATGCTGGAGCTGCAGAGGGAGAAGGCGGCCGCCACGCAGCTCGTCCTGCTGAAAGAGCAGCTCTCCAACATCTACAGCAACATTACAATAACAGGTAGGAGATCAAACACACAAACTGGCTCTCTTGGCACGGTTCTTGACATGTTCTCCGGGCTCACGCACACGCTCCCATGAAGGCACGCCAGTGTAAACCATCAGCTTTCAGAATGACAAATGTAATTTCAGGAGAAGGAATGCGGGGATGGATGGTGGGTGCAGCTGCGGAGCCTAGTAAACAGTGCAAAGACATTTCCACTCATTATAGTTAAAGCAAGCATGTCTGCAGAAGGACCGCTGGAGTCCTGGTTTTGGGTGGGCTGCGTTTTGTACCTGTTATAGTGATTGACTGGAATGGAAACGGGGAACTGCAGAAGAGAATAAACGTGGCATATTTAAAAGATAAGATCTGTTTTTGAAATCATAGGCGTGGCGTTGCATTGTCAGAGATGATTTGTTATTATTATTTTTGTGGTTTTTTTTAATAATGTGTTGAGTTACAAATTAAATCTCAGATGGGG